ATCTGGTAATTTAGGATCGCCACCTGAGCATAGGATGATTGAAGAGCCATGGGATGATGTTGGGTTGTCAGCCAGTCACTACTAGCGTACGCATATACTTCGTTCCCGGACGTTTTCGTCGAGTGTCAGCACTTCCTTCCACCTCGGAAGTCCTCAATTGCAAGTTCTCCCTCCCTAGAGGTAGGTAGCGTCCATGCCATGTTGTGGTGATGATTTAGTACGGTTCTGCTCAGCTTCATTCTAGGTATATACCTACAGTCATGCCCCGGCGTAGGGCAGTCGCAAACCGGTATGGAGAACGGCGGGTAGGTAGGTATCTCTAGTACAGAAAGGCAGCCGAGCAACGGAAGGATGTGCTGACTGTCAATTTCGCTTGCAGACCTGGACCTCTACACCATCATGGCCATCCGCAATCCCTTTCAAAGCACCTTCGGGTGGCCGTCACCTACATTTGTTGCGCGACCGATCGCTTTTTCATGTCAACAAAACGCCTGTCTGGTTTCTCTTCCAAGGCTGCCAGGCGGCAGCGGGTCTAGACTTACCCCATATACATGTGGGCCTCACGGAGCACGAACCGAGCTGTCTGCCGGCTGAGACACTGTCGGCCATCATCGTCATGAGCATCATCTGATGGCGTTTTTTGGAAAAGAAGAAAGGAGAGATTACCGGCGCTTCGGGAGACTAGAGGAAGCCATTAAGTGAGTCTTCTTCGCCTTTGAGATGATCTTCTTGTATACTTCCTGACTGGCTCGAATGAGATGTGACGGCACTGGTTTAGTGGTTTCATGATCGATGGATGGGCAATCTTCACAGTGCGAAAAATTGTCGTCCCAACTCGTCAATTCCCGTGGCTGCTCTGGTCACGCCCCTGAACCGTTCCCTTGACGAACCACACAGTCAGGAACATGGATGCGATATCGTCAACACTTGGCGTTCCTTAGGGCGCTCGTCGTTGCACCCCCGGTCGGTCCCCACTGTGACTGGACCCGGCCTCCTGGGGGCCTGGGCCTGGTCCCATCCATAGGAAACATTGCCTTCTTACGGGATCACAAGCGAACCAAGGGACCCCGAATCAGATGGTCCCGAATGCGCTTGGACTGCCATCAGCCCTCGCTTTCCATGCTGATACTACCTCAGGCGGCGTGCAATCTGGGACATGTCCCCGCAGCACTTAGCACTCTTGGTAACAGTGGTCCTCAATGCTTCGCCATGGTTGGTTAAGATCGCCAAAGAAAGTGACTGGATGCAACCGCATGGTACAACACTGCACGCTGAATGGGCATGGCCGTACCAATTGGCTTAGTCCCCAAAGATGAAGGCCCCCCGTTTCCATGTTTTCCGCTCCACTCCGATTCTGGTCACAGAGCCTAGAAAGCTCGTCTTGCCTTACTGAGCAGGGCGTGTGGGCTTGGTGGTGTTCTACAGAAGAGAGGACCACATACAACACTACCTCAGGAACCCCAAGGAGGGCCGAAAGGCAAAACAGAAAAGAAAAGGGCACACCATCTCGGCCCAGTTGCCTGTACATATGGGTGCCACCACCCGCTGCCATCCACATGGTGCTCGTTTTCCGGAAATTCTTTTTTTGGTCCCTTTCTCCCCGTTCCCTCTTTGGCACATCATGAGCGCTTGATCGCTCATGCTGATACACTCCCTATCTTGCAGTTGAGTGATATCATCTTTTCAGTGTATTGTATTCCCTTCTATACCCACCATACTCTGTGTCAAGTATTCGATTTAGCTTTGCGGGTAGACCACGTCCCCGAACACTCCTTTCTATCAACCTATCATTTGCCATTGTCTCCACCCTATTCCATCTCGGCCTAGGGTCTTGTTTTGACGACTAATACTTCTTTCCTACGCCACGACGACGACTTTAAATTTGTGCGCCTCCTATTAGCGATTCTTTGGGTCACACGTCGACTATTGAGACCTCAAAGCCGCCGTCCCATACGTATCTGGTCAGTGCCAGAGCGCGGCCTTTTCTTGGAGGGAGCTGAAGCATATCAGCGGGTAGCGGCCGATACCCAGAGCCAGGAGGGTTCACAAGTCGTTCTACAGTAAAGTCCAAGGACGCAGCTTCGAAAGACTACACGATGGCCAACGCGACGAACTCTTGTCCAGCGCCCTTTCTGAGCGAGGCGCTTTTTAACGATGGGGGGTGTAAGTTACCGGAACCGAAACCTCGTCATCACGAGCGTTGCTGCTAACTAACATACGACCAGTTGTGGATGGAAGGTTATGTCAGGAGGTAGGCAAAGGGCTTAGGTGCTGCCTGCCTTGCCCCATGACCGATTGGGCCTATCCCGACGAATTCAATACCCTGGGAGAGGTGGCACAATGGGTCGCAGTTGCTGGCACCGCCTGTTGTGTCTTTCTTCTATTGTCCTGGATCATTCTGCCCGTCGAAAAGACTCACAGACATTATCTAAGTCTGTGCTTGACCACGGCAGTCTTGTTTATGAATGTAAGTACTTGGCCGCTTATTCCCTGTTGCCAAGTGGGATTTCGAAGCGTTGACATACTTTACAGCTCGGTTTCGTGATACCTCTTGCCGCTCAGCCAGATGAATGCTACGATGCGATCACGCCCAATTCGATGCAAACCAACTCACCTTGCGCAGTATCTGGCGCATTCTTGATCTTTGGAGGTTGGGGAGGAGTGATGTGGGTGTTTTTGCGCTCCCTATCATTGCATCTGCAAATCTGTTGGCAGGTTGTTGTCGGACGTAACTTTATGTGGTTCTCCCAAGCTACCGGCTGGGGAATCCCCATTATCGGCATCATCATGGCCCTTGTTTTTAGTGGCGTTTCTTTCCGCTTTGGGTCGACGTGTCATATCAACCACCAGAATAGCTTGGCTGACCTTTGGGTCCCTTTGCTGATCTTTGCCGGACTCACCATCTTCATTCAGTTTGCGACGTTTGGTTATTGCATCAAGGTCTACCTTGCATCGCTTGCCGACAACAGCGCCTCCACCGAAAACTCAAACTTGCCTTCCTACACCAACAGCATCCGAACCATGACGCCCAAACAGGCATACAGACGTGTACGCCGAGTCATCCAGCTTCAATGGAGGGGGATTGCGATTGTTCTGATTATCGTTACCGACGTCGTCCTTTTCTCAGTCGTCTTTGTTTTCCAGGACAACACGGTGGAGGCCGTTAGGAGAGATCCGAGCACTGCCCTGGAATGGGTTGCCTGCCTTGCGATGATGGCTGGTGACAAGAACAAGTGCTTGGACAAGGCCGGTCCACTGGTGGTCGACATGCCCACTGTTGGCGCAGTTCTACTGCTTCTCTCGGTAAAGCTTCCAACCACCATGTTTTATTACCAAACAATTACAAAACGTTCTAACCTGATAAACTATGTGCTAGATAAACGGCTTGTGGCTTTTGCTCCTCCTCGGTCGATGGTCGATGGTGACGGGATGGCGCGACCTCCTAATGACGGTTCCTCAGCGGAACAAGCGAGAATTCGTCTCCGTCGACGCACGGATGAACGATCTCAAGAAAGACACACGTTCGTACGAGATGCTGTCCCGGGAAAACTCGGGGAAAAAAATGGACGACTCAGTAACACCCTCCGTAGTGACTCCGATTTCGCCCACGTACAGCGCGTACAACACGTACAGCATGAGGTCGCCCATCAATGGCAGCGGCGGCGACGGCGGCTACCGAAGCCCTTCGCTGTCCAGGAATAATGCTCCTGGTGAGGGCACAACTTCGCCGGGACCTCGCAACTACCACGACACCGGCAACCGCTCAGGTCGCCGAACCCCCGATTACTTCGGCAGCACAGCACGCTACCACGTGCCAACAAGGTCTTTTTCGAGCCCTCGCCCACCACGGTCACCGCCACCAACGGTAACATGGGACGCAAGAGATACATACGCTAGAGCTTCTCCGCTGCCGGAGGAAAGCCCGTATGGGCAGGTACAAGGAGCGTATGGTCAACAACCTATGGGAATGAACAGGATATGAGATGAATGATGACAGGTGTATAATACGCAAAGTTGAGGGAAGAAAAAGTATTAATATCTCCCTGAAGTGAATGGCGACAAAAGTAAAATAACTCCACCAATCCATAGCCACACGCATGTTTACGTACCTTCTATCCCCAACCACGTGAGCTTTTCATCTCATCCCTATGGACATGCGAAATACTTTGGTCCTCATATCAGCTCTCAATGGCCCAAGAACTCTCGGATTTCGCCACGACGCCAAGGTCGTGCAAAGACGGCGAGGTAATCTTTCAGAGCTTACGTCCTGCATGCTTGCATGCAACAAAGTCCGGTAATGGACCAATGGCAAGCTCAGTTGTGTGGATGGAACTCCCGGTACGGGTGATACACAGTATAACTTCGTCACCGTCTGGATGACAGCAGACGAAGCGCATTGATCTAGTTCGACCTTTTTCTCCTGTCATACCAACGTCCTGTATTCCGAAGCTTACCAAATGCTGGTTGAGAAGCCATGCATGAATTTGAGGATATATCGATGAAAGCATTGAAAGCTAGTCCCGGTAATCAATGCTCACATTGAGACTCTCCAAGGGCCAGAATAAATCTTCCCAGTGAAGCAAGACAAAGTTCGGCGGAAGATGGGAATAACGAAGACGGAACGGGACGTGCGGGGCCCCCGGAAGTGGTTGGGTCAGCGGGCCATCGGCGGGCCGGACACCGGAAGGGATCCCGGTAGAGGTATGGTTGGGATGTGTAAGGCGAGTTGAGTTACACTACCATAGTGTATGTAGTGTATTGACAAACGGAAAGCCCAAAGTCCGAAGATGCCGTTGAGTGATGGATTCGGAAGACAGCAGTCAGATATACACCTGACAACTCGTTCTTTCCCATCGTATGCATGGTTCCCAAGCTGGAAGTTGGTGGCGCGAGTCACCGCCCCTTCAGTTGCGTCCGGATGAAGAGGAGTTCCATGATGCTTTCTACATGCCGCAAACTTGATGATCTCCCTTGGCAACTTCGACAAAGGGGGAAGGAGGGCACGAGTAAAGGAAGGAATGTCCGGTCACAGACGCCCTAAGCCGGGATTGGCTTGCTTCGTCTCCGGTTCATCCGGAATCCGGAGGTTTGGATCACTGCGACGCAGAGTGAATCTGAATCTGTTCAGCTCTTCGCCCGGGCTTTCAGTTGTGTCCGAATTTAGTGGATTTTAATGCCGGTTTGATGCCGTTCGTTTGTTTGGGCCAATCAAGCGTGTTGATATTCACTTGGCAGTATTCATGAACAAGTTTTCCATACCTTGTCTTGTCAGCATCGCCCATAATCGGACACTTTTGTCAAAAAAAAGAAACGGAATGAAACTGTCCTTCGCTATATCAGTTGGATGTACGATTTCCATAACTATCGGCTTAGCCCTTCGTTTGGTTTACGGATAGGAGGCAAACATGGCCAGGGACCCAACGTTTGTCGGCTCAAATCCAAATCTGCAGCAGAGATAGCAAACTGGTCAGATGATGCCGAAAGAACCCGAACCCGAACCCGGAAATAATGGCACCGGTATTGGTACCGATGGCTGGCACCGCGGTCGCCGCCTTGTGCTTCCACTCTCCAACCACACCTCATCCACTTACACCGCTCTCACCAGTCCCATCTCTTGCGCCCGCCGGCGCCGACTTATTTCACTTCCACCAAACACAAAAGCTGGTCGCATGATTCTCCTGTTTTCAGCTCTGCTGCTGGGCTTCTTCCTCCACTACATGTGGAAAGCCGAAGCGGCCTTAAGCAAGCCCTGGAAACCTGACGACAGCTCCCTCGCCTTCAGCCAAAGACCACTCCCCCCGCCATCCAACGAGACCTTCCTGTCCTCGGCCGGATATAAGCTTCCATTACGAACCAAGGGGCGGGACATCGTGGACCAAAATGGCAAACGCTTTAAGCTCTCGTCAATCAACTGGTACGGCGCCAGCGATGAGCTTTTTATTCCGGGTGGGCTTGACGTGCAACACCGCGACGTCATTGCCAGCACGATCCGTTCGCTTGGTTTCAATAGCGTGCGCATGCCGTACAGCGACGAAATGGTCATTTCGAACCCGGAAGTCCCGCTGCGCCTGTTGGCGGCGAATCGGGACCTCGTGGGCAAGCGCGCCCTGGATGTGTTTGAAGCGACGGTAACCGCCTTGACGGACGCCGGGTTAGCCGTTATCGTCAACAATCACATCACCACGGCGACGTGGTGCTGCGGCGCTGACCCGTGCGATGCTGGCTGGGCAAACGATTTCCTCCCTGGCTCGCTGTGCCGGGTACGACAGACGGAGGCGCAGTGGATCGACCACTGGGTGACGGTGATGACCCGCTTCGTCGACAATCCGCTGGTGATTGGGGCCGACTTGCGCAATGAGGTGCGCGGGCTTTGGGGCACCATGCCGTGGGAGAGATGGGCCGCGGCGGCAGAACGAGCAGGCAACGCCTTGCTGAGGATGAACTCGGACTGGCTGATCATTGTGGGTGGGACCGAGTCCGGTAACGACTTGACGGGCGTGAAACGTCGGCCGGTCGAGCTTGACGTAGCAAACAAACTGGTGTATTCGGCACATGTCTATTCGTGGAGCGGCTGGGGAAGCATGGGTGGGCGGTATTCGAAGCGCACATATGCATCCTTCGTCAAGGCCATGCGTCAGAATTGGGGATACCTGGTGGAAGAGAAGCTGGCGCCTGTTTGGATTGGAGAGTTTGGGGCACCCGACCGTCCTGGCATTGGTGATGCGAACTACTGGCAGAATCTCCTGAGATATCTCAAGGCGATCGACGCCGACTTTGGATACTGGGCCATTAACCCGCGCAAGCCAAAGGACAACGAGAAAGAGTCATACTCGCTCGTTGAGGATGATTGGGTTACGCCGGTGCTGGATTATCGTATGAAGGACATGACGGAGCTTATGAGACAGTGAGTGATGCTGATATCTTTTGGCGTGAAAGCATTTCGAGGATATGGTATCTGCTCGGATGTGCGAGCGAGCTTTCCGAAGGCAGTTTTCCGGGCTCACTTGGCTAGAACTAGTTGACGGGTTTGTTGATATGCTTTGGGAGTATTTATCATGGCGTTAGGGGGAAAGCGTAAAAGATGCAATATAGCTGAACGGAAAAAGCGAATATATTTGCAGTTACTCTTGGGCCATCTGTTTTGTATGTTTGCTGCCTCATTCCGAAGACTACCATTATGTTTTCCCGGCTGTCACGAGAGCGCCGGAAGACAGGTCCCGGGCGGGTTGTCGGTGTCTGGGCCGTGAGATGCGGCGCAAGACGGGAGCCTGGAGGATCGCAGGACTACAGGCCAAATAGGTACCCCGCTTTGCCCACCCACACATAACACAGGTACCTATCCAGCAAACCATACAGGGAGTGCCCGCTAGCATACGGCTCACTGGGACAGGCATGCAGGTTGCACCAGAGGTACGTCTTTGTGCCTTGTGTAGGAGCCTCCCGCTGTTAGCGCGCTTCGTACCCTACTCCCCAGCTCCACTGATCCCTTTGCCAAATCACGTTTTCATCTTCCGTCCCGTCCCTCACTGCACCCGACATCTTCACCCACACCGGTGACGACAATCCGCACTCATTCAGCTCAGGCTCTTGCTTCTGGGAAGGTGCGCTGTGCGCTTAGCCAGGAAGGTATAAAGACTTGGAATCTGCACAATCAAACTGCGATTTCAGCTTCGGACATCCAGATCCAATTGCAGCAACGAAGCTCTTGGTAGATCCCCCCCCCCCTCCCCCCTTCCCCCTCTCCTACATCGAACCTCAACGGTTTGATTACCCTTTTGAGTGTGCCTCCACTATCTATCGCTCGAGTGCTTTTTATTTTTCCTTGCGGGCTACGCAATGTCCACCTCAGTCCGTGCCGGCCTCTACAACTGACGCCCTTACAACGTGGCTGCCATGTGCTTTCATGCCGAATATCATCGCCCTTTTGAATTCTATTTTCATTGTCAAAGACAGCCATTTACCACCTCTCCCATCAATTTCTTCTTCATCATCAACACGAACTGTTGATGCTTAATGGAGCCGCCACACATCAGAAGCATCAGCTTTGACATTGGCCCATGATGGAGCCGTATACGCATATCGACACTCCACGGCCATATCTCAGCTCGGACATGAGCGAAGACGATAGCGAGGCCGATGACGCCTTTCGTTCTTCGATAGACTTCCTCAGCGTCAGTCGCTTTTGCCATGTCCAGACCGCAGAAAGCAGGGTAAGCTGTGAACAACCCTCCCGAGACTCTTGCGTAACGGCACGGGCGCCGGGACTATCTTCGAGGTTTTGCCATCCCTGTGCTAATTTGAGACACTGGACAGTTCGGTGCAGACGTCGGCCCAGAGATCAAAAGCTTTGTTTACGAGCCGTGGCATAGTTTCGATATAAATGACGACATCTCTGACGACAGCACGGAGGATGAATTATCTGATGAGATTGATAGTATCGAACTCAATGAACACGACTGGGCTATAGGGGTGACTCCTGATATGGTCGCTACCTGGGGACCATTTGCAGCGGCACCACTTCCCCAGTTTGCGGCTACCATGCCTCCAACACTACTACCACAAATGCCGATAGGGCTGCAGGCGCCGGGGGTAGCTGATGATCTTTTGCCCCAGTTACAATTGCCGCAACAGCAAAACCAGCTCCAGCAGCTCCAGCAACAGGAGGAAATGGGGCGGGAGCAGGGGCGGCAGAGGTTTCCACGAGCTCAGAGGTTGCGGTTGAATTTGACTGCTCTGTCACAAAAATACAACGTGCGTATATCGGCTGCTTGGTGATAGTTGGAATGCGCTCGCTGACAGGAGACGCAGCTTTATTTTGCATCTTATCAGAACAAGATACACGCGTTCATCCCCCGGAAGGGCCCGAACTTGCTTCCCGGGCCCTGCTTGGTGCTGAAACCTAAAAAACTGAAGACTGACTGGCCCGTCAGACCGGCTATCGACCAGTCGTTTGGCCACCAGATCAACCACCTTATGATCGGTGATTTAGGCCACCTGGAAGTTCTCTTTTTTGCCTTTGATGACGGCGATGTCGGAGCCTACTACACGCACACAATTGCCCACTACATTGTATCAGCAAGTCGACAAAGGGAAGCGAATGGCAGACCTCCTCCCCGCTCATTGATACCCAGAGAGTTTTTTCATGAAAATGTGGGCGAGTCTGCTTGGGGAATTGCGATCCATCAAGAATCACGCCTACTTGCTGTCAGCTCCAACAGGGCTGAAGTAACGGTATTTGCTTTTGCGCTCCGCCAGCATCGACATCAGAAACCGAAAGATGATCTTACATCTTATTTAGATCCATCTCCCCAGATCTGGCCCGGCCAGACAGCTCTTGGCCTGGAGAGAGACTTCCAGACTCGAACTAGGACGTGGAAGATCATCCTACCTCTCGATTCCCGTGGAAGCAATATTCCGAACATATCTTTCTGTGATGACGAGCAAGGTTGTGCGGAGTACGTGGTCGCTCAAGATATAAAGCAGCGGACATGGTTCCTTGACATATGGCGACTGGGATATCCTCCAGTTGATATCATGCATGAGACGTCCAAGATGAACTACGTTACGCCGACACAGTGAGTGTGCATTTACGTTCCCATGATTCCTTGTTCTTGTCCTCGTCAGCTGAATTGTTATGACTGACTTCAAGGATCTCAGTATCGGTTGGGGCGTCATGATTTTGCCTGATAGATCTTTCAAGCAAACAGCATCCTTACACGAGTGCTTAGGTCTTCCGCCTTCGGAGTTTTCAGGTGGAACATTGCGTAGTGCGCAATTATGGCTGGACACAACCAATAGCCTTTCCCATGTGAGGGATCTGGCAAATCCTCTCTCATATCTCATTCCCGCGCCCCATAATTCTTCATTCATCGGCCCGGAGAGAATCGCCGGGTTCCCTATTGAGGAAGACTTGGACGAAGAAAGCGGGGCGGAGGAAGAGACGGAGATTTTGGATGCGGCTAGGCCATGGACCAACGTTGATTTTGGGGTTACCGACCGGCGGTCCATTATCTTGAGCGGTGAACATCCCAGGCCTCGTCAGGCTCCTCGGGCGTACCTGGATGATACCCACGACGGCATCCATATGGCTCAGTTCATCGTACCGAGATTTGCGCATGTTCCAGACTCATCAAGCCTTAGACGCGAACGATATTCGCGCTGGCGCACCCCTGCGGTCCCGTTCAGTAAATGCGATTTCTTTTCGCGCTATGCGACAAAGAATATGTCCATACTCTTGACCTCTTCGACAGATGTCTGCTTGCTACACATGGATCCCCAGGGTACGCCTGTGCTTTGCAGGCAAGTTCTTCCGTATCACAACCACCTTAACCGGCATCAGTCACCATATGACCTCCACCGAGACTACTCGCAGCGAATCGGTATGCTCCTCCACGTACCAGAGCTCAACCTCGTAGTCCTCGGATCACTCTGTGGCCGTGTTGCCTTAGTACGTCTGACAAAGACGGCAAAGCTTTTTTACGGTGCACCAGTACGCCGTGGATTCCGCGTGGAAATGGTTTTGCCGCGTCGGTCAGAAGAGGATAAACGGATGCGCCCGTGGTGTACTCTCCATGGCATTGCCATTTCCCCTATGCCTGACCCAAAAACGGACGGTATCTCGTTGCACAAAGAGGGCGATGAAGGCCAAGAACCGGCGTTGAAGAAATGGAGGCTGGTACTACATTATCTGGACCATACGATTTTAACATATATCATTATGAAAACAAAAGACGACGAAGACCTACTCGTTGTCTGAAGAGAAGCGGGTGTAGAAACCTTCAAAACTGATAATAAGAGCGGTTGCGTATTGCAAAGCGTCCATGAAGTTCAAGCGTGGGTGCAGGGGTGGGTATGCTTACACAAAATTGTTGCATGTCACAAAGCGACAATATACTACATGTATAGTCTAAAAGATATAGATATTGTGGGCCTCTACAATCCCGCCCTAGCTTTGTTTGTTAGTCAGGTACAAAAAGCACCCAACTTGACTGAAAGCGGGGAGGCTTTCGGGCTCTCAATGGATGGGTGCTATAGACTGGTATCTTGCAGTTTCAGAGATCTTGAAGGAGACGGAGAGGGGGGTATAAAGAAGCTTCTGTAGCGTATCACGCCGTGGTCACTGTCCGTTGCTTCAAACGAAGAGTGTAATTGAAGCCAACAGGACCTCACTGCCCTACCCTGTTCAACCCATTGCCAAAGAACCAGACTAACCAACAAACTAGTGTAGTGTTGGATTGCTCAACTTCGCTTACTCTCTAGAAACAACGTAGCGTACAATTCCGACTGTTAATCTGTTGAATTTATTTAATTTTTTTTTACAAATTATGTATGAGGTCATCTCTGGGGAAAGCGCCGTCTACTGGTTGCCCCAACCTTTTTTGAGGCTCATGCGAGGCTCTTGGTACAACCACCTTACAAACGTGGAAGCCAGTGTCCAACGATACTATGAAGATAGCTGGCAATCCGGCGATTCGGCACTTTGCAGGACCGTGATCGTCCAGGCCCGGTGCGGGGTTGGCGTATGTGTGATACGATTGGCTCGCGACCGTAGGGCATGTAACACTACTTTCCGTTTATAGTTAGCGCTTGGCAACCGCCTGCCGGCAAGCTCAACCTTAATTCCACCTCTGCAGCTCTATCGGCACGAATTTGTCTCCGATCGTCCCATTTCACTTCAACAGACCAACCTCCTCCACCGTCATCCCAATTGCCGTCGTATTGCCTATCATCGGACCTCACCACCTTCCCTTTGTTTACTGCAGTTCTCTAGTGTACTGCTAAGCGACTAGCTGAGGTAACATGGTCACGGTGCGACTATATGCCGTCCCCTCGTGGTCGGGTACTACGTAGCCGGTCAACTTCCTGTACACGTCACCACCGTTCATTTTCCGGGCATATTTTCCGTCAAACAAGCCAGGATCTTGTTTCCAGCCGTGCTATTCAAAATGCTGACCCTCCTTCGCCGCGTAAGCCATAATCCAACAACCCTCGGTCGTCCGCAGTTCGAACCACCAAGGGGCGCATAGACAACCGTCAAGATGCGTTCGCCGATCAATCCTCAAGCGCCCGGCTACAATCCCGTTGGCCTAGCTGAGAAGGAAGAGCTGGTGTTACGCCCGCTTCTTGCTCATGACACGCAACCCAGTCCTGGGCAGCGTCTGAAGCGCAAACTGTCTATCCTCCTGGCTTCTGGCGCCGTCTCGCTCGCCGTCCTCTTCGCGTTCAACATACTTGCGTGCAACGGCACCCTGTTCGGTATCAAGCCGCGTCCATCTGAGCTCGCCAGCCCGACACCGCTCCAAGCCCGAGATGATCAGATATCTTCGGGCGAGGAAGACTGCCCATGCAAGCCCACATCCACGGTACCCGATTACTTCAACACCAGCCCAGGCCCCTGGATTGGAAAGACGGCCACGGGCAAAGCGCCTTTCATGGCCCAGACCAGAACCTTTGACCATGCTGCTACCTACGTACCTAATGCGCCGCTGCAGACACAGGTGCCGATTCAGGGCTGGCACCCGGGCAATTTGAGCATTTTCGGCATGATGGGATTTCTGACGCCTTACACGCCCTCGACAGGGTTTGGCGTGGACGAGTGGCCGCTGCCTGATGGTGCCGAGATTATTTGGCTTCAGGTAGGCGCACTGAGATCTAGAGAGTAACGCGGCACTAGGAGTACCGCGATCAATGCTGACCATTTTTGCCGTGCTTTAGATGGTCTCTCGTCATGGCTCTCGCTATCCCACTGGAGGCTCAAACGTGGAGTCTTTCGGTGCCCGTCTTGCCAATGCGACTGGCAAGTTCAACGCTACGGGCGAACTCGAGTTCCTGAACAACTGGAAGTATCAGATGGGCACTGAGATTCTCGTCCCCAGAGGTCGCCAGGAACTGTTCGACTCTGGTGTCCTGCACGCTTACATGTATTCGTCGCTCTATGACCCCAACACCAAGATTATCGCTCGTACGACGGTATGCATCTCGCTGTCCGTAAAGACAAGTTTGAAATTGGGTGCTAACTAGAGAAACATAGACCCAAGACCGCATGCTGAGATCTGCTGAGAACTTCTTGGCTGGTATGTTCGGCCTGGAATGGTAAGTTATTTCCCCTCCACGCCCCATCCCCATGTGATGTTGCGAACGGTTGGATCTAGATATTGATTTTGTACAGGCCCAACAACGTCACCCTCGAAGTCATCATCGAAGGCTCCAATCTCAACAACTCCTTGGCAGGCTATATGAACTGCCCCAACGAAAGGGAAGACGGCCTTGGCTCTGCGGCCCGCGATATGTGGGTCGGCCACTACTTGCAGAATGGTACGCGGATTCTGGATGATAAATGGCCTGAGTAATATCAGTTGCACACAGCTAACTTCATCAACTTCAGCAACTGAGCGTTTCTCCAAGCTCGTTACGGGTTATAACTGGACGCTCGATGACACTTATGCCGCCCAGACCTTATGCGCCTACGACACAGTGAGTCAAGCGCCACCTCTCTCCTACCACTTGGTTCATATCAAACTCACATTTTCTGTAGGTCGCAAGCGGCTACAGCCGCTTCTGCTCCCTTTTCACCTATGAAGAATGGATCGGGTTCGGCTACTCCCACGACCTCCAATTCTACGGCAACAACGCCTTCGGCTCCGAGACCGGCCGCGCCATCGGCATCGGTTTTCAGCAGGAAGTCCTCGCCCGCCTTCAAAATCACACCATCCCCTACTCCGAGACCCAAGTCAACGTGACCCTCGACAACAATACCGTCACTTTCCCGCTCAACCAGTCTCTGTATCTCGACTTCTCGCATGACACCAACATTGTCTCCATCCTTGCGGCTTTTGGATTAACCCAGTTCGAAGAGGACCTTCCCGCCGATAAATACCCGGGCGAACACAACTTTACGGTGTCGCACATGACGCCCTTTGGCGCGAGACTCGATATCGAGATTATCAAAACGCCAAAGCCGTTGAAGGCTGATCGGTCGGGCTATGAAGATGAGGGAGAGGAGACGAAGTATGTCCATTTTGTGCTGAATCAACGGACGGTCCCGTTGGGGTGGAGCCATCCGGAGTGTGATGCGGAAAGGGTGGATGGATGGTGTGAGTTTGAGACGTTTTTGAAGGTGCAGGAGAAGATGCCCGGGCTGGCGAGGTACAAGGAGGTGTGCTTTGCTGATGGTGGGAGTCCGTAGGGGAGTTTCTAAGGGGGGGGGGAATTTCTATAAGAAATTCGTAAAGGTACGTTTTTTGGAAGCACGCCTGTTTGGGATGGGTGGTGAACTTTCACGAGTAATGATGATGAACAGACACGCTGGAGGAGAAATGCGTGACATGAAACGAAGAAAAATCTAGATGAGGACATTTGTATCTGGCGAAAGGGCCAAAAGCTTACTAGATCTATCTGCTGCCGACTCGAAGCTTTTGTTCGCAACAATATTCCGATGCCAACGCTTGATGAATTCATGTTCAAATCTTGACGAGCTTGGTTCTGATAATCCAAGACAGCCATATACCTCGAAGCATTTGCGGAGCCATTTACATCACACGTTCCGTCTGCACCCAGAATGCGCTTCCGGTAACAAAGCCGTCCCTAAAAGTGAACATAGTTTCCGATGGTTGTTTTGTTTTCTTCTTGTGTTTTCTGCTGTAAATAAAAAGAGAAAATCTTTGCTTCAATCTTCACTTATCGTTGCTGACAATAACTTGTATATAGATTCTACATCGGTAGGTGTGACACGTGCTGGTCTTTCTATTCTCCATCCGAATAGGGGTAAGACTGGAGCGTCAATTATTGACATCGTAACTGATATGTTGGAAGAGAGCCTAGACTCCGGTACATTACCGACAGTCTCTAACAAAGTCGTCATCAAATTGCGGTGGCATCTCCTTGTCTTTTCTTTGGAACTAAGGAGTAGCGTCACGGTCCATGGTCGTGCTAGACTAGGTGCTCACTAGGTGTAAATGTGGAGGCTTACGACACCTGTCTTGTGATGTTTTCGGTGTGTGTTCTCAGGATTCCGGTATGTGCAACACGACAAGGCATCACCGCCATTGTTCAACTACACTACTGATAATAAGTAGGCGCTTTTCCCGACTTCAGTTGGAGCCGTTGCATGGTGTCCTTTTGCACTTAGTGAGGCTCGTCAGTTTATTTTGGTGATTGAAGCTGGGCGGCCCCTATTTCGGTGGTTTGGAACATGTCTGGTCCCTGTTGTGGTTCTCGGAGGTAGTACTTCCACCAGGTACCTCTTCCCGCCTTTCCTTATGGGAAGTTTGGAGTCTACACCACTAGCTACATAGTAGAATTCGCATCTTCCATTGCCGGCATATGTGTACGTACCTTACCTTCTGAATTTCTCAGCTGCCTTTGCAGATAAGGCTGACGTCGACTTTCATCAATGAGGGTCCTTACATCAGAGAGGCATCGAAGTGGACTTTTCACTCAATGCTTCTTGGCAACTTTGCTTTTGGGGCTGCCAAGATGACTGATGCAACTTTGACTCCCAGTCCCGGCCGCGGACGCGGGTGCGGTACTGTACACTACTTCAAGTAGCTCGGCGGGCAAGATTGGCAGCCGATGGGGTCTCGGCAGTGGTTTTGACAGTCGTTCGTCAACGTCATCAGCGGCGTTGACAATAATTGGCATCATGTGCCGTGTTTCCTCTCTTGTGCATCACCTATGTACATGTTTGACCGATGAAATTGGGTGTCCATTTCGGTGTCTCTCCACCAAGACAAGAAATCAAAAAAAAATCGGAGCGACTAGAGGTAGTCACTGCAGTCATGTCCCCTGAAAGTGCATCATGCACCCGAAAATCCATAACATCCCTTGGATGCCTACAGCTAGCCATCCGTAATAAGGAATTTACAGTATGAGAATTTGTACAATTACTACCTATTTGCATACTAACTCGCCGGCCAAATTGGCACATATGCATCTATTGGCGCACTTTTATAGGGACCTGCAAGCTCAACCTGGACGTAAACTACAAGGTAGCTGATAAGGGAATTGCTAGGTAGGTAGCACTGTTCCCATTTGACAATTGGCTGAAGCTTTGTTGACGCTAAATTGGGGATTTCGATCGGTCAAAAAGATGTCGAATACTCACCCGGACACACAATGGCAATATGAGGACCGCTCCCCACCCTGGTGAAAAAAATTAGGTTTCGATGCCCCTGGACCTGCACCCCAGTTTCCTTTCAGTCATCACCAATCCAGGCGGCTTACAGCGGCCCGAATGCCGCGAGTCGAGACTCGGCCACACTTTTTTTGTTGATGACTGGCCTCGGCTTTCCGCTCGTAAGTGCGTCCCAGAATTGAGCCTATCGCCGACGCAGTTTTCTTTCTCTTTTGGTTTTTTTTCCTTCTTCAACCCATAAAGAGCCTGTGGGGTTTTGCCTTCTCGAAGTGGGCTAAAGATGTGGACGACGAGTGGATAGGAGGGATCGCCGCCATGCCCGCCGTGGAGGAGGTCTCGTGCCGTGGGGACTGCAAACTGCAAAGAGGTGTAGCGGCTGCGGCTGCGGCTGGAGATGAGGGTATCAGTGTCGCGGAAGATGGAGGTATCGAAAAAAGTGTCGAGGTTCGAGATCCAAGTCAAACTGAAACCATGCAACCGAAGCTGGTGAAATGAGCAGGCATCCGGCCATCGTGTAAAACCGGAAGAGGGAGGCGGGGCCTGCCGCGATAGCGGAGCCCGAAGGAGGCTGACCGTCGCCGAATCTGTCCGAACCTGGAAGCGTTGACAGAAACCTTTGTCCAACACTCGGGCTTCTCATTGGTCCCCAAGTCCTGATAACCTATCTCTTGGCGTACTTGGCTGCGGCCTGGCACCCCTGCAGTCTAAGAGCGCAGGGGCTGCCCGGTAATGGAGCTGTAAAGTTCTGGACCCAAGAACAGGGATGCAGAATGGGCGTGGCCACCCACGAGGGGGGTGGCCTGTGAAAACCTCCCAACGTCGTGCCTTCTTTTGTTCGCAAGTTCCGTCATCTGGGGTGCAGCACGCCGCTCGTTTCCACGGAAGAAAACCAAAATCGACGCCACAGAAACCCCAGGAACACACGACGGAAGCTGGGGGAAGTCGTATTATATCCCATTGCATCCAATTGGCGTTCAAGTGAACCCAGAACTACCCCTGTTGTCTATATCGATGGATGTTCGGTTTGGCGGGGTGTCAACTTGTGCGCGTGGGGGAATGCGCCTGGTCGGAGTTTGCGTTCGGTACCGAGGCCACCCAATATCTTCCATCATACCCACCGCGTCAGACGAGTAGACGTCCAGCTCGTTCGGGTCTTGGTCGATACTATACTCGGCTTCACAGGCTTTAAATGGGATGTGTTGGCTTTGTCTCAATTCGGCCGCGTATGCTTTAGCCCGGAGGCACCAGCATAGAGGGCTATGAGGAGGAGAATTGTCTCCAGATACGAACGTCTTGGAGGACATCGACGCCCTTTTCTATATAACTCTACCTATCTGGGTCCGCTAGAACTCAGAGGGATCTTGGTGATATCACCATTTTAGGAGCTTCCAATAGTGCATGCACGGAAGGTGACAGGAAGCAAGCGGAGCAAGCACACGTGTACGCGCAAGGTCCTACTGAAAGATCGTGAAGTCGGTTGACGAGTTCGGTGCAGCTATGTCTAATGTCTTGTTTCTTGGCAGCCCGGAATTGGGAGGCCCTGGAATCGACAAGATAACGCCACATTGGAACTGGAGATGTGTGAAGATCACAGCAAAGCATATGGGCCACTGCTCTGCCTGATCTTCACTCCGTTGTCGGGCGAGAGCGTCCCATCACATCGACGGGCATTGGCTGTCTACTGTAATTGACAGTGTCCCTGCATTCATCGGGCACCTTTGAGTATACTGTGTATACATTGAGTAGTTTGGGGTTTTAAGGTTATGTGAATTGCAAAATAAGTACGTACAGTACCTCTCGAAACCCAATCCCCATACGACGAACCGCACGTAAATGGTGAGACAACGCAAGTCGGTCCACAAGTCAGAGAGTCACAAAAAAAGAGACATTGAATTCACAGGCTCATCATGATTTTCCCCAATGTGCCGCCCCAGAATGGGTTCGGGACAGCGGACCTAGGTAACGGCAAAGCATGGAGGGCGGAGGCATGCTGGTAGCACAGCACCGCACATTCCCGGAGTCGGGCCCTTGTCACCTCGTACTACATCTGCATTATCATTGGCTGAGTTGGGATGACAATCCCGCAAGCTTTTTGGAAGCAGGCTCTACCTGGCCAGGAACAAAGTTCTTTTATGATTTCAAACGAACTCCCGAGCTCCCTATCAGTGGATTGTGTATCAGATTGTCTGCAAATCACGGCCGAAAGATAAGGTAAAATCACGGGGCCACTCAATCTTTTCGAGCCTCGGAGCCCATGTAGCGAGCTTGAAATAAAATTGTTGATCAGCTAAAAAAAAAAAAAATCGTGCGTTGACGGATATGCAAATGTACATATCAAGCCATTGCAAGTGAATGCAAGGCAAGGCGGTTCGGTTCTGACATGAAGAGATAAGGTACCTAGTGTACAATGCAAGTCCGTTAAGCACGCCGCGGCTGTACACTATGCAATGTCCCAAAACTTACAGGCTGTACCCTCTCTGCCCACGCGTGCACGGAATACAAAACGACCCTGATGGTAATTGACATATTTGTTCAGGTAAGTGAATGTGGAACGCCTTGTGAATCAGCCAATCTTCTTTTCGCTCCATGGCTGAAGAGAGTTTAGCCACCTGGGAAGCTGGGCTGAAGCCCTCCACATGTTCAAAACCTTGTGTGCGCATTTGCCTGTATCCATTCTTTGCCTCAAAATACCGTCCCGCCCAAAGTTAAAGTTGTTGGTACTTGTGTCATCTGATGGTTGCTTTTGAGCCTCTCCGGGCAGCTGGCCATGACTGTATAAATGACAGCCGGCATCCCCCATTTCTGTTCTCAACCCCCTTTCTGGCGTCCATAGGCATTGGCAGCCTCAAGCAAAGACATCCTAGGTTCGCGAACGGCATCTCGCCACATTTTTTGTCCCATCCATGCAAATAGAGTGGTAGTGGGAAGAGAAGAGCAGGGGATAACCCACACCACAAATCGAGGGACAGCCGCGGATTGGTGAAGCCAGCCATGGCAGCCATTACGGCTCCCACTAGCTGTTTGGGGCGGCGTGGGCATTCCCATTTGTCTGGCATGGAACCCCCATCCCACGTACTGCGTATTACCGATAGGTTGATGGGAATCGGACCAGTGTATACGGCGCGAATTGAGACGAACTGGTTTTTGGAGGCCCTCTCACGGACAGGTTAGTAGACGATAGTATACAGGTGGGCTGGAAGAGAGATGGACTTCCGGATGCGCATCAAGCTCACGCGACTCGGAACAACCTCCTAGGCATTGATACCAGACACCGTCTGCCTGTAATGGTTTCCACGGGCCCAATTGAGGGAATCCTCCAAAAACATCCTTGCTCCGTTCCTGATCGCGGTAGCAGAATAAGGTAACAGAGCTAAACAGACAAGAGGAGTGCTGAGTGTGCGCTAGGCGAGTCCGCCTTCGGCGTGCAGAGGCAGACTTGTGGGTGCCTGCCGTCGTTCCAAGGGCGCACTAAGTTGGACAAGTTCCTGCGATCCGTACCCTGCGCGGGCTGCGTCAGATGGGACTCGATGGACCTTCGGGTCGCTCCTCCCCACTCTGCTGGTACATCGGATAGTATCGACATGCTGCGATGCTGCACCCGGATGGATCCCACTTCTTTGCCCACACGCCCATCGCTTTTTATCAACCTTCCACCTCTCGACTCTTATATAGACCATGCCTCGTCCCGCCCTCCTTCTTCGGCCATGACTCTCTGGCCCACCTAAATACCGGCTTTGCTCCTCAAGTCCTGTTCTCTCAGTAAAGGAGTCTGAGACTAAAGAAAACAAAATCTACTCTCCAACTTACGTCGGACCTTTTTTCCACACACGGCCCGTCCCTTAATACCATTATCGACTACCGAAGCGCCGTGGTCCGAGTCTCCTATTACGCACAGTTTCCTATAGTCTAATACATCCCGGATTCACCGCCTACCACCGTCATTTACCGTCCTGACTTCCGACTCCGACCCCGACTACGCGATCGTCGTCGTCTTTTCATCACTTCCGCCCCCGTAGCCTCCGGCAGGCACTCCACCAGCCTGCCGCAGCCATGTCGTATTCATGGTTCGGGGCCCCTACCCCTTTCAATGGCACGACGCCCAACGGCGGTGATTCCGGTGAGTCCTTTCGGAAGCTCGACGACATGCACCCAATGCCTCCGACACTCACTGACAAGTTTCATCGCCAACAGCCTCCGAAAACCTCAACCAATGGTACCAATCAGGCGACCAGGCTTTTATTCTAGTTGCATCATGCATGGTCCTCATCATGATTCCCGGCATCGCCTTCCTCTACTCCGGCCTTGCCCGTAGAAAGTCAGCTCTATCACTCATTTGGGTGTGCATGATGTCTTCCAGTGTTGTCATGTTTCAATGGTACTTCTGGGGCTACTCATTGGCGCTCAGCAGCACAGCGACCAACGGCTTTATTGGCAACCTTCGACACTTTGGTCTCATGAACACACTCGGTGCACCTTCTCCCGGCTCTCAACTCATTCCTGAGCTACTCTATGCTTTCTACCAGGTAAGATGACTATCGATTTTTATCAGACACTTCAGCCAAGGGCCTGGTCTTCCCGATTCAGGGGTATGTTTATCTAACCCCGACGTGACAGATGCAATTCGTCGGCGTCACCGCAGCCCTTGTTGTTGGGGCTACCGCCGAACGCGGTCGCGTTGTCCCAGCAATGGTTTTCATCTTTATCTGGGCAACACTGGTCTACTGCCCTCTCTGTTGCTGGGCTTGGAACGTCAACGGTTGGGCCTTCAAGTACGGAGTGATGGATTATGCTGGTGGTGGTCCCGTCGAAATTGGATCCGGTGTCTCGGCTCTGGCTTATTCTTGGGTTCTCGGCCGACGTAACGAGAAGATGATGCTCAACTTTCGTCCACACAACATCTCCCTGATTACCATTGGTACGGTCTTCCTCTGGTTCGGCTGGCTCGGCTTCAACGGCGGATCTGCTTTTGGCGCCAACCTTCGTGCCGCCATGGCGTGCTGGAATTCGTGTCTCACAGCCATGTTTGCGGCCATGACCTGGACCCTTCTCGATTACCGCCTGGCCAAGAAGTGGTCGCTCGTCGGCTGGTGTTCCGGTACCATCTCGGGTCTCGTCGCCGCTACTCCTGCTTCCGGTTATATCCCTCCTTGGGCCAGCATCATTCTCGGAGTCGTTACTGGAGTTGTTTGTAACTTCGGCACCAAGATCAAGTTCATGATCGGCATCGACGACGCTCTCGATATATTCGCTGAACACGCTCTTGGAGGCGTTGTGGGTCTGATCTTCAACGGTTTCTTTGCTGCCGATTACATCATTGGCTTGGATGGCGTCAACCAGGAAATCCCCGGCGGCTTCCTCAACCACAACTATAAGCAGTTGTACATTCAGATCGCCTACGTTTGCGCCACAATGGGATATTCTTTCGTCATGTCTGCTATCCTCGCCAAGGGCGTCGACATGATCCCAGGTCTACACCTTCGCGCTTCCGAAGAAGCCGAGCTCCTCGGCATGGATGATGACCAGCATGGCGAGTTTGCTTACGACTACGTTGAGGTACGTTTAATTCGGATCGTTCTTTATTTACCTCCATGGGCTAACAATGTTTCCAACAGGTTCGCCGCGATTACCTGGCATGGACACCAGCAGAGAAAGAGCAGAGGCAAGACGGCGACATCATCGTCCCTCAGCACGGCATCGAAGGGCATCAGGAGCTGTTGAGCAGCTCTCGCCACGGACCCACCATGTCCGAACTCCCACACCATGAAGAGGAGGAACCGCGAGAGAAGAGGGGCTCGACCTCGGAATAATCTCACAAAAGATGTCCACGTCGAATTATGCGACCACGCAACGAAATTATCTTCACAAGCGAATTTTGGGTTTCTGTTTCTGTTTTGGTTTTGGGAATGCATAGAACTCTGAGTTTACGGGACCTTGGATGAGAGAATGTGGAAAACTGAGGAAACCAAGCGCGGGAGGGGAAGGGTTTCTTGCCTGCGCGCGCGCCTGGGTAGATTTGGGCTTCCAACAATACCTCCTTTTTAGGCTTTTTCATCTCTATGTTTGTTTATTTCAACGGATGATACCGTCACACAGTGTTTGATGGACACCGAGTTTATCCCCCGGATGATGAAGCCCGGGCTGGCATATTATTTTTTTGTATAATACCCCATCTAACTGGCGATGTGAAAGCAGGCATGTTTCTGCCATATTCAGCGTTCAAAGTCCTTGGTCTTCCGACCTTTGTTCTTGGTCTTCAGATCTGCTCCGTTGTGCTTGTTTCCATTTCCCGTTGGTTGCCAGCCTAGATTGGGTGATAGCCTTGTACCACCTTTGTACACACCATGTTCGTTATCTGGTTTTCGATTTCCATATTTTATTTTTAATGGCCTCACTTGTTGATGCCCGCAATTTCCGAGCTACCGGTAACGGACCTATGAGCCCAACTCTCTTTTTCTGGTACTTGCAGTTTTGCGGCCCAACGAGTCATGCGCTGATCCAGTTAAGAGAACTAACCAAAAGAAAAAAAAAAAAGAAAAAAAAAAAAAAAAAAAAGAAGGCGGTCAACAATCCGAGCCTGGTCAGATCGTAAACTGCCAGGTTTCGTCCTTTCCCAACTCCCGGGTCTGGGGATTCAATTTGTCCAGTATGTGGGAGTGTTTTACTGGTCACTTACTAGAGTGTTCGCATTTTCGCGCACTTGAGCTTACAAGTCAGGCATTGGAAGAAAACCGAAGCAAACCATATCATGTGGTCTAAGGCTGTAACATGGACACATTAAGCAGAAATGGGCGTATTTACAATGTTAGCCAAATGGATCGTAGATACTTTATGTATGCATGGTTTCTTGTGAAACATTGCTAAACAGTTTATTGAAATCAGTACCTCAGTCTCTGTCTCACAGTGCAGCTTCCAAAAGTTTCTTTGCGAGCTTATCCTCTCTGCGAACTGCATCAAGCTTTCGGTTAGACTTTTCTCCCCTCACTGTTTGTATAAATCATCAAATCATCGACGAGATTGGAGTTAGACTTGAACACCTATTACTCTCTCCTCTACAAGTTAAATTAAGCTCCAACTTGCCTCTAGGACCAAATCTGAACAAAGCAAAACATAACCTTGATGGCAAACGACTCACCAACCATTCACGCAACATGCAGTCTCGTCTATCACAGACCAGAGAGAGGCCCGGAACAAAGTGATGTTGTATCACGCTCACAGGCTTTATCTGGTGCTTGATATTATCGTGCGAATGCGAGGGCGAAGTGCGAGGTAAGTGCAATTATAAAAGTATAACTTGTTCTCGCACTCCGTCCATGTCCAGATCAATGTCCAGATCACGACATGACATTCTGTGTCATCATCTCAGTGTCAAACTCAGCTCAGTTTAAGGATCCCCCCCCCCTTTTTTTTTTTTTTTTTTTTTTTTTCCCTTCTCCTTCCTTCCCTCCGGAATCATAGTATGTTTCAAGTTCGACACTAGCATATCAACCAATTTAGTACTGTCATGTCATTGTGTTGATGATGTGTGCGCCCAAAGCTGGTGTGATTTGAAGGTCTTTCTCGTTAAGGCTGGGTGTCTGGACCACCGACCGGCTGGGGGCATATCCCAATTTGATAAGATACCCCAGATAGGACAGCCTCTTTGTCACATCCCAGGTTTCGCTTTCCAAATCCATCCACGTAATATGTATATACATAGGTACCTACCTACTTTAACTCGCTCGGTTAACTCGGCTGATGGGTGAACCATGCTCCGCGATCGATCTTCCAATAGAAACACAAAGGTCACGCTTAGTCACCACCTCGGCGACTTACACTACACTACACGCCCCCCCGGCCACGACATCCCATGCCAGTTTGTGACTTGGGATTTCCGATTACACTACATAGGAAAGCTCAGTGCCAGGTTCACAGCGAGCCAGGGTGTTTGAGAGTTAGCCGATTGGGCAACGCCGCGCACAACGTGGTTTGATAAGTTGGAACAAGTTGGGATAAGTTGGACTTTCCGCAGGTTGTCGTTCGTCTTGTTGTCCGTCTTGGTACACCTGCTGGGATGTAACTTGTTAGCTCGGTACGGTGAGCTCGACAAGAAACATGAGACTGGTTGACGACGAACTGGCTTTTTCTTGAGCCAAGATTAAAGGCTCCTTGCCATCCCGAAAAAACGACGCTAACAAGTTATATCCCAGCAGAGCCATGAGTTTTTGGAGTTCTTTTCTTGGCGGGTATTGGCAAACTGAACAAAGTTGAGGTCTCGGACACTCCCAAGTCTGTTTCAAGGTTACAGCGTGGGGGAGGGGGGTGTGTTTGGTTGCGGCTGCGGTTATGATGTGGGGGACAAGGCTTTAGGAACAGCGAGCTGGAAAATGCTTGGCGGCTTGATTGGAAAAAGGAAGAATGGCGTGCCAAGTTACATATGTCTAAATATTCGAGGATGGAAAATCAAGGTGGGGTGCTTTCCCGGGTGCTTTGCCCACACGTTATGGGGAGCCCGGCCGTCGGGCCTGTCGGGAGGTTAATGGCTAATAGTAGTACTTTGAGATATACACTAACAGAACAATGTTGCAGTGTCGGTGTTGCTCCAGTCGGAGGTTTGTGTTGAGGAAAGAAGATGATGACCGCCGGTTCGGGGTCGGACAGACGGACGGTACGGCCGGGACGGGATCTGAACGGCGCCGGTAAAGTTAATCCCGCCGGACTGGGATTAGTGAGCCCCGGCATATCCAATTGCAATGTTGTTTTCTTCAAAGAATTGTCCTTTTCACATTTATTTTGTGCCGGACGTACAGATTCTGGCGGTGAGAAAGTCAAGGTCCGATAGGTTTCCGGACTTGTTGGGCGGAACGCAGATTCAATCACCTCATAGTCACTTTTACAGCTGCTGTAAATATTGTACACGATACTGAAGGGCAAGTGACATCAATTCTCTTCTTCCGCATCATGATTGGAAACAGGTAATTCCGGGACTGAGTGACCAAGTCGGTGTTATCCTCAGTATCAGGGCAGAGGTAGGATTATACAGACCTCTATATGACCTCATGGGGTGACCCAGACACTCGCCATTTCGAAAAAGGGGAAGGGGAAAAGCAGATATGCAAATGATCAGAGGTATCTTGGATAAAATTACACGTTTGTCCCACAGCACGGCCAGTAATATGTCGGTTGGTATTCATGCGAACTGACAGACCTTTAGTTCTGTGCATCCACAAACTCGTCATGCGAATCGTCCGTGTCGACCTTCTTGATAGGAGGCAAATCTTTAGCCATGTCATCGTGGAAATCGATCAGAGGTCCCTCTTTAGCGACGGCACCCGTAGCGACAAGCAGCGTTTGAATCTCCGTGGTGCTTTCATGGGAAGGATCCAACGGCGGATGCACCTTTGGCGCCGTATCTACCAGCTCTGACCCCGCAGCAGCTTCCTCGTGACCCAGCTTTTCGTGGTCTATCGTTGGGACGGGAGGATGGGCTTCTTTACTGGGACTCGCTACGGGAGTTCGAGGGGGGATGGTGTTCTTCTCAACGAACCGCTGACCTTTCAAAATGGGATAAATCGCCATGATCTGCTCAGCCTGCTTCTCTGGAGTATCCCCATCTCTGTGTTTTGTTAGCCCTCGCCAAAAGCAATTTCATGATATCGCTCACTGACATTGTTGCATTGATGATCCACTCGAGGTCCTCTTCGCCCTCTTCAGAGCCGCCAGGGCCTCCCCTGACCATCCGGAAAAGGCGCGGATGCCATTCTACGCCGTCATTGATTCGCTTGGCGGCCTCCTCGCGCTGTTGGTCTTCGATTTTGGTTTTCTCAATAGTGGCCAGTTCGTGGTTTCGTTCCTTGACCGCCTTGGCTGTCGCAGCCCAAATCTTTTGTGATTCCCGTTCTTCTTGCTCTTCAATCGGGCGTGCAATCGGAGGACTAGATTTTGCGTGCAAAGCGTTGAAGAACATCTCTTTGTGCCCAGTCTGTTTTTTCTGTTAGCTCGCTGCCGTCATGGGCTTCGTATGTATAACCTACCTTGACATCTCGCAAGTACATCTCTTCGCTCCATAGACCCGACAGCTCGTACAGGATTTCGCCGGTACTCTCCCTCCGAATAGTTCCACCGATGGCGTTGTAGGTGCCGCTGACCCAGCCCTTTGTCTTGAACTCGACATCGGCCACAAGGTCGAGTTCGGGGCATCGCACATAACTGTGGTCTCCCAATTCATATTTCATCTTGCCAAACAATATTCCTCTTGCGTACATGTTGGGCTGAGTGAGAATGCTGAAGCGCACGCGATGAGTAAGTAGATCGGAACACTCCTGGGGTGGGTATACTCACTATCGCTCTCCCCTCTGAGGATCCTTGCCTCGGTTCAGAAGACTCAAGATTGCGATACCCTCCATCATACTCGCCGCAGAGTTGCCCAAGAATTTGCTTCGAGGCTTGAGTGTGCCATCAACTCTGATGTTATGGCCAGGAACCATGTAGAAGTAGCTCGACTTGGGAGGATGGTGTGATGTTTGCTCGGAGATGTAATAGCCTCGCGTCTTGTCGGGGAAGTCCCAGTAGCAGGTGAAAATCTCGCCAAGGACGGGGTTCAGCGGCTTCTTGACACCCCTAGAGGAAATATCAGCAAACATGGTCACAAGCTACGGCGCAAGGTGCCGCTATGCTGGAAGTAGGTCTCTTACGGAGGGCGGATATGCCAGCCACTTAGGTAGAACTTAACTACCGCCACGAACCTCTGTACCGGGTCATCGATTTCGGGGATGGGTAGGAGCATCTCGGGATGGCACATGAAACTGTAGCAGTCGGTCAATAGGTATATTCCGTCCGCTGCCCATGGGAGCCAAGATTGACCAAACCCTACTTTGTTATCCGTTCCAACATGCTTCGAGGTTCGAGGATGAAGGTTGGCAAGACGACTCTGCTAAGATCGGCGCCGGGTCTGAGCTGCGAGATGATATGCGACAGGACTGGCGACAAGGTCAGCAACAGTTGGCGGGATGGGCGTCGCTTGTCAGGTTAGAGGGTCGACAGACCGTTTCCCTGATCGGGCTCAACAACGAGTGTATCGTCCTCGGCGACATCTTGGTTGGCATCACCAGAAGATTTGCTGCCTAGACGGGAAGACAAACACATGTTAGCAACAGACAAGGACAATTCGCGCTCGGGGGCGATGCGTTCAGCGCAGCATCTCAGCTACTCACTAGCAGTAGATGTAGCCCTACGGCGACCAGTTACAAGGCCCATCATCTTGTTGAAGCTTTACTACGGGTTCGGTGCCGTGGCAGAGTGGAGGCGACAAAGAAGAGGCGCGTTTTGCGGCGGCAGAGGTATCACGGGCGGGTAGACTAAGGTATGTTTAGATTGTAGAGGTCGACGCTGGGTCCGTAGGTCGGAAGGGAGATGCGACTGGCGTGCAAGTGCAAATGCAAATGCGGGTGCTCTTGTCCAGGAACTTTTTAGGCGGGGTGGTATCGGGTATGTATCAAAACCTTAGGGGCCGGGAATTCCCACTCACGTCCCCTTCTTCCCACGAGTTGCGGCGGGACTGTTGGGACCTAGGGAAATGAGATGCCTGCGTGGATTGATGACGGCCCGGGGCTGGCGGATGTTGGGATTTGGGAAGCTCCAGGCGACGATGGGGGACACCGGCAGATGGCGGGATTCGTAGGGTTCCCCAAGCGCGAAGCCGGCTTGCTGAACGGGGCGGGGCAGCCTGACATGGAGGGCGGAGGACGATGGAGGGGACCTGAATAAATGACGTGGGTGACCCAACCCCAGCCCAGCCCAGCCCAGATCCTATCTTCTCCAGGGACTGGCCATTCAGCGAATAGTAGAGGTACTCTATAGAGATATGCATCACGACAACCAGACTTGATGGCGGCCCATCTTTCATGATAATGAGGACCACAATACTTCAGCCTGGCATCATTAACGACCCTCGGAGATCCAAGTCTGATAATACCATGAGCAACAATCGCCTTACCTTCCGCCGGTGTCGCTCTCCGGCAAAGGTATGGTGTAGCTTGTGTGCCTGTCACTAACTGGTCGTACGTGTGTCATCTAGGCCACAACGCAATACTATTACTGAGGATTCCATGTCCCTACTTCATCTTTACATAGTCACTGTCGTGCATACGCGACCCATATTTGGCTGCAAATTGGAGTTCCAGTGATCAAAAAAATACAATGACCGCGATCGTAATGGCTTCACGATGCCCCCCAGCCTCGTGAGTTTCCTAATTGGTAAATAGGTGATATTGTGGCTTAGACATTCTTGGCGATCCCGTTCCTCATCGTCTTCCATCTATCACCTTGGCAACTGACAGCAGCCAGTATCATTCACCGTTATTGGGGCTCTCTGAAAGCCGCTGGCAGCGACCTTTGCTGTGGAGTCGCTTTTCCTCAACAACACAAGGAAAGGCTGCCCGGTTTTGAAGACCCGTGCATGGGGTCATGCTCAGGCTGAGTCGCGTTGCAGAATCGAGGTAGGTATTTCGGGCATCTGGACGCGTCAATGTGGCTCTGGCTCCTTGAATGCGGATATAAGAGGGCTTGAGCAAAGAGTATTAACGATAGGAGATAACATCCATCCACTTGCCTTGGGTATCTGTACAGAGACGCCGGCGGCCTTGAGTTTTTGTGATATGAATAGACTTTCCAGGTTCATTCGACCCAGGCTAGAAGACCATATGGTGGCCGACACGTGCTACCTCTGAGCGGGTATGGTACCACGCAATGGAAGCACCAGCACAAGAGGCCGTATAAGTTGACTACCACCCTTTTGGTCCGGCCCTTAGAAACTCTAGACGGGCTGTCATTTTGACTTGAAGGGGGGATCACTTGTCTCCGGGCCGGGGCCGCGGCCATGGACGACGTTGCACGGATCATGTTGCTGGTTCTACGGCCGAAGAGGCTGGCGATTGGAAAGATTGCTCCAGCCTTCAAATCCCTTCCATACCTTATTCAAGAACAACTCCAAGTGGTGGAAAAGGGCACTCGACGGAAATCTGCAACCTCGGCCGGCGCAGATGTGGATGTGAAGGCCGGCTGCTTGGAAACACGAACCTGGGTCTGCCCCTGGAATAGCGAAACTGGCAGTGGCCCTCTAGGGCGGGTTGCTGCTGCCAGCGTGCCAAGCTCATAAACTGTGACCCTTGAAGCGCAGAGTGGAGACACATTACTCCTCACGGGCACTGGAGACCTGAGGGAGTCTCGGAGTATCGATCCGTGACCATTCGCGACCCTTCGCGAACCCTGAAACACGAAAGAAAATCGACTATCGAGAATGCTGCACCTCGAGGCCCATTGCCTGTTGAGGAAGGTGATGCGTGACGCCATCAGGGGAGATGGGACGGATCCGTGCCTGAAAATACGAGTTTAGCTAAGGAGCAGTCCTGCTAGCACGGCACTATGATAACCAACACGGGTGCAGATGCGAGGTTGCCCGGGCGATATCCATTTCAGGTTCAATTCCTCCATGAACGGCCATTTGTCTGCCCGAAACACCTATCCGCATGCTCGCTCGGTCCAATTCTGTTCGATCCCGTCTCCCGTCCCTTGCGTTGACTTGAGCTTTCTCTCAACTGTTCGATCCCCACAACAAACGGTTTCCGCTGCCATATCGAACTGGCTGTCTTGTGACACGTTGGCCTACAGAGACAGTGTTGACAGTCCCGTCGTTGGAATTTCTTCTCCAGAGCTATCGTTACATTACGAGCTTACTTCGTATTTTGCAGCTGGAGGTCAGTCATCCCGGGCCGGGCCCGCCGTCTCCCTCCTTTATAATCCAGGCGCAGACCTGTCCACCGAACATCTGCAACCGGCAGCGCTCCAGCCAAGGCACTGCCGCAATCCAGGACTCCAGTTTGTCCTTGCTTGATCCACGAATGTGAGACGATCACAGCTCTCTTGTCGGTCCTCCAGTCTGCTGGCAAGCAGATTGCCCTGCTTGACTCCCGATTCCCCTGACTGATCTGCCCCCGCCTCTCCTGCCTGCTGCGGGCAGCAGCGCCAGGTTGCAGGGAGGTTGCAGCACTTAGCCTGTCCGGCGCCCGGCTCGCACCTGCTCCTGCTGTCATCTCAACGACCGCACCGGGCGTTACGACAACATCCTCGGGGCCACCGCAGTGGCTGTCTGCGTACCTACCTACCTACCTACATAGCTGGAATTCAGTTTTGAACACCACCTTTACGGCCACCAACAACAATACCCATCCACCCTTCCAGCATTTACCGTCCTGCCGGCATCTTGCTTACCTTCTACTTCCATTCAGTTACCCGGGTCTCCCCCGAACATCACCACTGCCTAGGTACCTACCTCTACCTACCTTGCCGCACCCTGTCTCGGCAACCCGAACCCTCAGTTGTTCCTTCGCCATATCACGTTGTCGAGGTCCATGCCCGCCGGTTCCTTGGTCGTACTACGGCGTTGGGTGTGCATGACCACAAAGTTCCCATACTCGACCCTGAACGGGCTCGGTCCGCGCCTACTGTCGCTATAACGTCTATACTAAGGAAGCTCGGGGCCCCATGACGCGCATCGAACACACAGCTATACACGACAATCGATTCACAGAATGGAGAACGAACCGCCAATTATCTCGGTACAGGAGGATGGCCGGGGTACCAAAAGGGGCCGGATAATGGGGAAGCTCTTCGGCCGGGTGAAGGAAGACCGCGAACGCGACCGGAAGCCTTCTCACAACAACACGGGAGCGTCTGGAGATCTGAATGATTTCTTCCACGGCTCATCAGACAAGTTGCAAGTTGCCCATCCAGGGCCTCCCACGCTTGCAAAGCTCGACACAAAAACTGCCGGCAGTACACGATATCCCAACTCTCTGAATGTGCAGAGTCCCACCGACTCTCGACATGATTTGGCTATCCGAGCACGCTCATACAGCCCACGAATCCGCAAAAACAAAGGCCTGAGCGTGAAGTTTACCGACGCGTACCCCGAAGTTATTGGGCATGGCGGCGACGAGTGCGATGTGCCCACGGTCGAGATCTCGAAAAGGAAGCAAGTCAGGTCACCCATGCCTCCGACCACAACTGCGCCTGCTTGGTCCCTGGATGGTGGTGGAAGACCTACTGGGTCACCGGGTGCAGCACAAAAGAACGATCCATCCTTTACACCAGGACCATTGCGACGTGCACAAACTGGGTTTGCGAATATACCCGGTACTGGGGAACAAGAGCTAGCAGAAAAAAACAGTCCCCAGCCGAGGCCAAGGGGCAGCCCAGCAACCAACCCAGACGAGAAGCGCCGTTCGTTCATCGAGCTGCATCAAGCTGAGATGCGGGAAGCAGAAGGACAGGCCTTTGCCAATGCAGTCCGCTCGGCAAGCATATCCTCGCAAGCTACTCGAACTTCCGAGCGGCCACCCCTTTCGGCCACCAATTCAACGAGTCGAGGACAATATACCGAGTCTCCAAGAGATGTTGACCTTCCTCAACTGTACCAGCCATCACAATCGGACTCTCTTAGTCAGCCCACAATTCCAACTTCACCCCGGTCCAGGCTCGGGCCTTCTCCCATACCCGCCCAGGCTCCTCGCTCTCCTCAGACATACGCTGTTGATTCACCTCGGACTTTGCAACTGCCACGGAATGGGGCTCTAGCGTCAGAGACACAACACTCGCCGCTGCATATGCAACCGCAGCTGAGCCCGCTACCGACATCCGGTCTGACACCCGGTTTGGAACAAAGTCCACCCACCAGCTTCATCAACCAGTTTGGATCGTTTAGATCGTCGGGACGATCCCTGGAGGGGGAGAATTTTTCACCAAATGCAGCGCAGCAACCACCTACCCCAGCATGGAACCATGACCAGAGTGCATTAGACGATGCCCTGAGTACTTTTGCTGCCCGGAGTACCCATCTCTTCGAGCTATTTCGTCTACACTCCGAGAGTGTGCGACCCTTGCTATCATCAACACCCGAACAACTCGTAAGGGCAGCGTTGTGGTGGTTCCTCACCGGCCGAATGGCCCTGGAAAATGCTGTTCGCGAACGGCCGGCGGGTCTCGAAGCTGAGCAGAGAAATAGCTTGGCTAAGCAACAAGCTCATGCAGACCTTGCCAAAGCGTATTGGTTATCAGAAAAGATGGTTCCGGAGGTATCTAACAGCACATCCGCCCTGGTAGATGCGGAGGTAGAAGAGGTGCGAAAGGTTCTTGCGTCCAACCTGCGAAAATTGGCCGGATCGATGCAGAGGAACGGTTTCATGCCACCCGAGGAAGCACTCCTGCCTCAAGCGATAGACAGGTCGATATGGATAGAATATCCTTCCTTGACTCAGGATATCATCTCCCTTCTTTGGGGGTCTTCGAGTTCAGCGCTCGCTTCAACGCAGCAGCACCAGCCTGGGATTGGGATGCTAGACGCACTTCCATTGGGTGACTCCGACAACTTCTTCTCCTTTGGGCGTTTCCGCATCGAGGCATTCTTAATGGAACAAGGGAGAGAATCGCAGAGACTTCACTTTCCATGTTTCTTATCCATATTGAGGCCACAGAAACAAGCGGATATCATGTTCGTCATCGCAAGCCAAAATGATTCTGTTCAGCTTAGAATATCTGGTGATAAAAGCCTGGGTCCCGTGTGGGAGGACGTACGATGGCGCCCAGAAACACTCACCCTCGATGTTAGATTACCCAGAGGGTTTGCTCTGGTTCTCCAATGCTCGCAAGGTAGCTTCAAAACGCTGCGAAGCATGTATGAGTTCAGCGCAAAGGTCCATGCGAGCCTTTACGCGAAGCCAGACGAGAGGTGCCTTTTCAGATCAACTCTTCGTGCTTTTCAGTACGTCGACAATGACCCACAGGCCAGACAGTTTCCGAGGGAGGCGACGCCTGGATGCGAGTTTGCCCTGTTTGAGCGCCTTAAGAAAGAAGGCGCGGCAACCGGGCCTCGAACCTATCATCGTGGATATCGAATTGCGGTTGTCACAGGACCAAAGGTCAAGACACTAAGCGGCGTCAATCAAGTGTACACTCCGCAAACACTCATCCAGCTCGGTTCCTGTCGCAATGAGGCAAACGACCCTGCCCTTTCCCTGAAATTCGAGAATGGCCGTCTTAAGGGAAGCATGGTGTTGTCCTTCAAGGATGAGCAGGAAAGGTCGCAAATGCACAGCCTCCTCATTGGGTCAGCACTACAAAAGGCTGAAGAGGTCTTTTGTGAGGTGCCGCTGAAGGTCGTCTGGTTCTCGGAAAAATACGGCGATTCGGCACACAACGGTCTCAAGCAGATGGCTGGGTTGAGCTGGCAAAGAGTCAAGGTGATCAATGACGACAATGATGGTGACCGGCCACCATGTGTTCTTGCTGATAAGCTTCGTGCGGTATACGACTTCCAGGACGGCACATTTACTGACAGGATCAACGTCGCGCCCGGCGAACTGCGTCTAAGACTGGACGTACGTAACCCAAGTTGCATTATGGTGTTCCGCCAGCCCCAGGCAGACGCAACTCTGGCAGTTACGGATCCAAAGATTCCGCGTGAACTATCCGAAGGAATGGCCGAATGCCTGGAGGTCCTGCAACAATCTCCCACCATCAGAACCTACATGTTCCCTAGTGTCGGGGAACTCCATGCCTTTGAATCAGCTATCACCGGCTTCAAAATTCTCTTTGATGGGATTGCTAGCGCATTTGCGATTTCTCGTCGCCGTATGGTGGTTCCGATTCACAAGAAATGGGAGGCAGGGTCAACCCGGATCCAGATCGTGCAGCAAGACGGGGTTACGCAGATGTTAACTTTCTTCGAGAACTTCACCCATGGCCAGTGCATGGGATTCACTCTAAAAGGAACTGACATCTTTGAGGCGTTCAACAGAGGCGGCAAGGCCGGGCTCAAGATTGCCGATGCCAAGTTTCCCTTACCCAAAGTCTTGCCCCAGAATGTGACCGACGCACAGGCGGCTGCGGACACGGCATTCCTGTGTCTAGATCTACCTGAGCTCCCGGGAGAGCATGATGACATTACCATATTGTTTGATAATGAAGCGGGTAAGTTCAGACGCTATCTTTCCCTATCCCCCTCTCAGAAGCACTTTCTTCTACTTATCACAGCGTGCTAACGTGATACACAGAGCGTGACAAGCTCGGCTTGTGTCTCCCGGCACCTGTGAAAGGCTCTAGATTACCAAAGAAATAGGAGACGACGGGAGAGCTGGATAATGTTGGGAGGCTGTGCGCGAAAGATCTGGAGGATAAGCTTCAAGCTGTTCTCGATCGGAGTATGAAGCATGAGATACCCTCTATCATATCTATTTACAGTAACAGCGGTCGTTAGCGTTGAGCATTATGACGGATCCGTAGAACAAAGCACTCGGAGCATGGGTTTGGATGATCGAGTTGAGACGTTGATAATCGGGGCCAAAGTTCACTATATTATGCGGTCACTATTTTCAAAGCCCATATTAAGGACTTGGTTGACAAAGTAAGGATCAGAGCAGAGCACATGAACCCATTCACTCTGCAGACATGCCCGTGATGAGAGGGGAAGGTTTTGGAGAACCTTTATTAAACTGTTAAGATACATATAACACATCCAGAAATGAGGCTCGTGATGTATAGCCGAAGCCATAACTTCAACATTCCAGTAGTAATCGAGAACGCCCCTACTCCAAGATTAACTTGATGACCTTGGCCCGGCTATGCAAATTGGGACAGACCGAGCCTTTCTTGTAATCGATATCCCCATATTCTCATTCATAAACCATGTATCATTCCACCTCTATCCCCGCGCGAAATGTGCAACCTGCCTCTTGACGTTGACTTCCGGTCACTAAGCCAGAACCGACCCCTGTCTCCTCTTCTCGTCTCTCTGATTCGTGGAGGAAAAAAACTACAATATCCCCATGTCTGTTTCGCATCGCCGTCCCTCCTCCACCGTCAACTCTGTCCAGCATGAAACACCGCAACTCCTAATACCGTCTCCTAGTCGGTTCCGGGCTGGGCGAGCGCGTCGGGCTGCGGCTCCGCGGTCTCATCTTGAGCCACTTCTTGGTGCTGAGCTCGAGCTCCCTGTCCAGCTCCGGGCTGGGGTTCTTACGGTGTATAAAATTACAAAACCCTCCACGGACACAACCCTCGCCAGAGTTCAAACGGCAGCAGGCCTCGCGGAAATCCGTCACGGGGCTGAGTTCGCAATAAATCGGCCTCGCAGCGTACCAGCGAGAGTTCAGATCGTCGCACGCTTTTTGGGCTGAGTCCTCGTACTTGAACCGCGCGTACACGTTGCCGATCAGGTGGTCGTTGTTGTTGTCGCACACCACCAGCTCCTCCAGCTCGCCGTACTTGCACATCTCGCACCAGATGTCCTCGTAGAAGGCGTCGAAGTGGTTCTGCAGCTGCGATGCGTTCATCCGGTTCTTGGGGTCGAAGGCGGGGTTGTGGTACAGGTTCGGCATCAGGATCGTTTGCGAGTAACTGGGTTTGACGTGTTTGCGGGAGCACCGGTCGCCGTGGCGGCAGGCGCCGATCTTGTAATAGAACGAGCAGTTGACTTTGTCTTGCTCGGTGCCGAAGATGGAGGCGAGAAAGTTGGCCATTTTGTCGACTTGTTTTTTTTATCTCGCTGCGATGGCGAGGCTGCGTATGGGGGATGTTTGATAGGTTGTGTGCTGGGTAGGCTAAGAGAACTCTGAATGCGATAGTCCGTTGTCAGAAGGAGAGAGATGGCGAGAAGTCAAGTCGGTCGTTCAGTCTGCTCGGTTTGATGAATGTCGAGGGTATTCTTTCGTCGTTCGTGAGCAAGACCGTTGGGTTGCGTTTGCAAAAACAAAAAAAGGTTTCGAAAAATATCGTTGATCGAATGGCAGTTTTCGAGAAGTACTGGATAGTCCCGGTCGCCTGGTTGCTACGATGTTGATGAATTTGGGAATTGGCGTTGTCGCACATGAAATCAATCTGTCGTAGAAAACTGAACCCAGCCGCGTCGCCTCAGTCGCGTCTAGCTTTCGCCACATGGGTGTGGCTGACTAAAGTTTTGACCAATGGTAAATATTGCCTTTGGCTGTGAGGCTGACAAGTGAATGGGTCTGGTCGTCGAACATACACATGGCATCGTCCAGAAGTTGCTACGGGTAAAGTGGCCGTAAAAGTCGCCATACTGCATATGTCATCCGCGAATTTCACTGTCTACGCTCTACAGTATTCATGGACAACAATATCGCAAGTCTTTCAAACATATACTTTGCCGTCGTCAGATTGCTGCGCAATCCCGTCATGCAGTATTGCCTAGGTAAAATCACCATACATACTCGGATGTCATCCTACGTTTCTGCCCGTTCAGCGGTTGCCATCGAGAAACTCATCGGCGCCGAAATATCATGGCAGACCCGGCAACCGGCAAGCTCGAGACACGAGATCGGTTGTTGAAATCGGCGATGCTTCCGGGGGACGGCCGGGCTGGTCGCCAGTCAAGTCACAGCGAACCGAAAGCCGGTGAAGCCCGACGCCAATATATGGAGCCTGGCACTAGATCCGTTATTGTCGGGTGCGGGTAGGAGATTGTGGGTACGACACAAGATCCGGACACGAAACATTGTAACAACGACACACCTGAGCATTCGGTCAAAAACGTACGTAGGTGTCAAGTGTCGAGTCTCAGTGGGAAATGAATTGCTCCCCCCTTCCATCCAGACGAGTTGCTCAATGACAGTCAGTCAAAAGGAGTTGCCATCTCCGGTTATCCTCGAGGCCTGACTTGATCCAGGGAGCGCAAATTGTACTGTTGAATTCTGAAAACTAAAGAGACGTGGCTCGGTTGGGGGCAACCACTGGTAAGCGTTTGTCCGACCTCACACGTGGAGTGATTGCGTTTCTGTGCATCACGGCTGAATTTTACTGCGTTTAACTTTGTTGAATATGTGAACGTGGCCTACCAGCCATGAGGTAGGTTGTCGTCCAATTACCTTTTTTTTTGTGACGGGTCCCGGTTTTGTCATGTTGTAGTTGTTTGGACTTTTGGCTACCGGACAGCCAACACCGATCTTGACGGTCCCAAGGATGGCTGAATGGTCTTTGTGTGGTCAGACCCTTGGTTACAGGCCAGTCTCAAAGTTTTGATATCAAGTCGGGTGATAGGCCCGGAGATCATTTGTCAATTGTCGCGTGAGGTTCGTTGTAGTGGTGCCCTCGTTGGGTGAGATGATGTCGTTTTATCCTTGTTCACATGTTGGCAACCCAGAAAGGGGAACTCTTCATCTATCTCTGGCACTTTTGAGACCCCTGCGTTGGGAGATTTGCGACAGGGATCTGTTTATTAGTGAACAGCCGATTTGTCGATGCGGTGGCCTCCCGAGGGGTGAAGGTCCTAGATGGCCGTGGATTATCGCACGCTGGAATCAAGAAAATCAGAGTTCAAACTGTGATGAAGTCCGAGCGTGATCTGCTTGAAGAAGCAAATCGAGAGATTGGATAGCCTTGGTTGTTGGCGGTTTGATGGTCGTGGACTTAAATTAACTTTGATGTAGATTCGATGACCGAATCAAGTCGGCGTCAGGTTCGGGGCGTGTGGATTCGATAGAGGTGAGGTGTAATACCTAGGTACTACGGATGATACTGTGGCCGGTAAGGGGTCTCGGAAACAGACATACGCATCTTGACGATGCTACAGCAGCACACACGTTTTGTGGAAATCGACAAAGCATACTTGTCCGCATTATATCTCTGTTTTCTTCCCTTTGCCCGCCGAACTTTCATCTCTGACCTGTCAGCGCTTCGCTGTCCCCTGTGATCGCTTTGGCGATCCTGTTGACTCGGAGCAAGTCACGGCCTAAAGCATGCACATTTCAGCCGGCAAGTGCAAGCGCGGCGATAAGTGGACTGGGATCTGCGGGGCAGCGTAGGTAGGTACCTTCATCACTGACTGGAAGCTCTTGGGTTAGCACTGCCGTTAAGCTCCCATGGTATTTTGGCCATTAATGCCAAGACCTCAATGATATAACACTTTACCTAGCTGGCACAACTGCCGGTAAAATACCTCGTGGATATTGGTGATTCTACAGGAGAAATGAAAGTATACAATATGGGCTAATTGCCACTTGGGCTACCTCTAGGCTCTATCTAGGTGCACGACAATGAAGCCACGCAAGCGAGACAAGCTGGGAGTCTTGGAGCGCATCTCCAAATTTTGAGCGTTGCACTCTTCCCCCCAGCCGCAACCCGCCGTCCAGGCCGCTTCCAAGGATCACACCTTAAGCTCACACTTCGGTACCATTGCTTGTGGACCGCCATTCATTCGATGGGAGCGGAGCTCGACCTTCTGACGTACTGTGTCCCTACTAGCGTTCGATCCGTCGTTTCCCAATTGGCTGGGTGGCTGGCTACCACATCTCCATATCGATTCGAAGCAGTGTGAATTGTGAGGCAAAGCGTGAATGGAAGCTCTCCTTAGAAGGTGGTACTGTGCTTGCGAGCCAAAGTAAAACCCCTTCGTCAAGTACCGAGCACGAACCGCCATAGGGTAGCTCGGCAAACGAAGCCCCTTCGTGGCTTTGTATAGGGCACTGTGAGGTCAGCGATCGTCAGCGACCGGGCCCACGGGTTTTACTTGGCCATCTCACCACATGGAGGTAGGTACCTCTAGACAGAGCGCCCGGGATATTCACGGGTGCCCCTTGAGGTTCTAGTGTAGCTGGCAGGCATCTCCAGTTCCAGAACGCCAGGACGCGGCCAATAGGAGTGTTGGGAGGCTGCGTGGAGAGGCCGTGGAGAGCAACAATAGCAGCTTGCACCAGCACGAGCAGCAAGCTGAAAGAGGCTTGGACACCTCCACACTTGAGCTGCGTGGGACCCTTTTTAGCCATTTCCCAGCTGGGGGCTGCGCGGCTTCCATCCTCAAAAGCATTCCGTCTCGTCACTCCGTCCGCTAGTGTTTTTTTTTGTTGTTGTTGTTTTTATTCCCTCTCTTCATCTCCGGTCCCTCGTCTCCGTTCTGTTTTCCCCCCAAACATCCAGTTACTCACAGAAGCACAGGTCCAACTTCTGTGTACCTTTGCTGTGACACCTTCCAAGGAGACCGGTTCGGTTTCCTTGTTTCCTCCCCCCACTCTCTCTTCTAACCAACACCTTTCTGCGATTTCTCCCGCTCTCTACACCCTATAATAGGTTCCATTATTTGAATTTTACTTTGGCTGCCCTGCCACTGCACCTGCAGCCACTCGATTACTCTAGCGCCAATCGCTCTCGACCAGTGACGCCATCTGTTCTGAACAGCACGGTTCGTTGCGCCTTTCTGACCGGACCTCCAGCTTTATATCGACAACACCTCTTCGATAGCTCAGATATATCCACGACACACAGCGAATTTCGAGCGAAGACGTTGACAGCGACGCTACAAGTCCGGCTGCTGACGTGGCTTCCTCGTCAGACACAATGGCAACGCAGCAATCAGCACAGGAGCTGAAGCAGCAGGGCGCAATTGAAGCTGCACAGGATCTCAACAGCAGTGTCACGGCCGAAGACGCCGAGAAGAAGATCGTTGACGAGAGCCAGCAGCTCGGCATCACTGCCTTCACCTTCGACCCTAATGCTAGCGCGGCGGAGAAGGCAGCACAAGCCAGAGAGGTACGTTCCCAGCCCTCAAGCAACATCACTGCTGCTCCGACCTGACACCGCTGCAGGCAATTCCAGATGGCCTTCGGCGACCGAAAGGATTAGCTATCGCTTCCGATCTCGATGATGGAACCAAGGCCGATATCGATCTCCCCCCACCCTCAAAGGCCGGCGCCCTAGATCTCCCAACCACTGCCGATGGAAATGTCATTGAGGATGGCCGTACCCCTGAACAAATTGAGGCCGATTTGATCAAGAAGGTCGGCTGGGCCCCAAGATTCGGCTGGCCCAAAGACCCCGAAGAAGAACAGGATCTGCTGGACCATGCAACATGGGTAGAATCTAACCTCTCCGAAAACTATTTTGGCGGTACGTACGAGCTTCAACTGGTATCCTTTCAAATATTCTAGCTTTCTAATGTGTAATCCCACAGAATGGTACCATAACGTGGCCGTCATTGTTTTTGCCTGTCTCTCATCTTGGCTAGTAGCAGTGTTGGGAGGCGGCCTTGCCTGGGTCTTCATAATCATGGCTTGCTGCTCGACTTACTACAGAACCTCGATTCGCCGGGTGCGCCGAAACTTCCGAGACGATATCACGCGGGAGCTAGGCCTCAAGAAACTGGAAACTGATAATGAATCCGTCGAATGGATTAACTCATTCCTCGTCAAGTTCTGGCCCATCTACCAGCCGGTCCTCGCTCAGACCGTCATCAACTCTGTCGACCAGGTTCTCAGCATGTCTACCCCCGCTTTCCTTGACAGCTTGAAGTTGAAGACCTTCACTTTGGGCTCCAAACCGCCTCGTATGGAGCACGTCAAGACCTATCCTAAAGCCGAAGATGAGGTTGTCATTATGGATTGGATGTTCAGCTTCACCCCCAATGATACCGCCGACATGACTGCACGCCAACTTCAGAACAAGGTTAATCCCAAGGTTGTCCTGGAGATCCGAGTTGGAAAAGCCATGATTAGCAAGGGTCTCGATGTTATCGTTGAGGACATGTCCTTTTCTGGTTTGATGCGCCTGAAAATCAAGTTCCAGATGGCGTTCCCTCACATTGAAAAGGTGGAGATGTGCTTCCTGGAGAGACCCAAAATCGATTATGTTTGCAAGCCTCTCGGAGGCGAGACCTTCGGTTTTGACATCAACTTCATCCCCGGCCTTGAGAGTTTCATTCAGGAGATGATTCACGCTACGTTGGCACCAATGATGTATGCGCCCAATGTCTTCCCTATCGAGGTTGCGAAGATGCTCGCTGGCACACCCGTCGACAGAGCCATTGGTGTGGTTGCCATCACTTTGCATGGTGCGCAAGGCCTCAAGAACCCCGACAAGTTTTCTGGAACCCCCGATCCCTATG